AAATCTATAATAGCTTTTACTAATTAATCTAACCATAAAGCAGTTCACTAAGTTAAACATGTTATAAAAATATTCTTTGACAATATAAACAAACAAAAGTATTATTCACGGCATACGAGTAATATTTAGACAAAAATAAGCCCTAATTTCATGCACTCTTAAACGCAAACCATTAAACTCTTGTGTCATTTGCAGCGAGAAAATCATTTCAATTTATTCATCGCTGAGCTCTGAATAAAGCATTTGTTTGACAATTCGTATCACAAAAAAGTAGTTTATTTGCCGAAAACAATGCATTTTTCTTTATAATCATTAATTAATGGACTAATTAAGAGCCGACAAATAACATCACCGAAAAAGGCATTGATTTTTACACAATAATCCATCTCTTAATCATAGGAAAAATTGTAATTTATTTTAACACTAGACTACACTTAATTACATACATAAAACAGTTTAGTTGTATTAATACTATACAATAAAAAGCATATCTTCGGTGAATAACTGGTGTATAATATGATAGACAAGAATTGGGTCATTATTTTTGATGTCATGATAGCGCACAGGAAATCATTTGATATAAAAACCGAGATTTAAAATCAATAGTGAGATTTGTTAACAATAATTTATGGACACAAATATTTTATTTAAAAAGCGAAAAGTGTTTTATGATTAAAAATCTAAGTCAATGTCTACTACTGTCATAAAAATGGACTACATTTTAGAAATAGTGTTGAAAACGAAATTTATTATGATTTTATACACGATTGTAATATTAGTTCAGGAAATGCACTGCAATGGGAATCCAACAACTAATCGCATATTAATACCTAAACTACATAATCGGAAATATGTTATCAAATAATAATTAATGTATGAAATTATGTATTTCTACTTAAATGTGGTTTCTATTGTTAATGCGATTAAGCGCTGACCAAAGTGAGGACCTGGGTGCTGGACAGGCGTGCCTTTCAGGTGATTATGATGAAGACCGGGAAGGATAAGAATCAACAGTACAAGAAGTTTCTGCAGAGGTAGGGGACAGACACGTCTCCATTGAGACATAAGTCATGAATTGTTAATTACTTTTATATAAGAAGATTACGTTTTTTCATATATTTTTCCTTCACTTAATGTTATGTAAGAAAAATAAATCCTATTTTAATAACTAGTATTGTGTTATATAATATATATTATGTGACTTTGTTATTATTTTGTAAAAATAGCTCGAATAAAATTGTTACTTTTAATATTTTTCTAGTAGTGAGCAATTTTATGAGTTGGCTAAATAATATAATTTATGTTTTAATCATTGTGTTGAATAATTAATTTAATTTAATTTAATAATTAAATAAATTATTGAATTATCTAATTGGGTATTCAATAACGTAATTTAATTAAATTGATTTATTGAATTAAAAACTTTTTTTGATAATGAGATAATGAGTTACATTTACAATAATTATAATTATAGTTTTGACTTATTGAATTATCTAATTGGGTATTCAATAACGTAATTTAATTAAATTGAATTATTGAATTAAAAACTTTTTTTGATAATGAGATAATGAGTTACATTTACAATAATTATTATAATTATAGTTTTGACTACAGAATAATTTTATTAATAAAATCACACAATATTTTGAATAATTTTCTGATTACCCATTCATTTAGTGTTCCTTTACTTCAAAACCTAAACGAAGAGCTCATCGGAAAGATTGCGGACGCGATTGAAGTGGTATTACAAACAGATATCATTACAAAACTATTTGCATAAAACTAATGATTGCGAACCCATTAGGACTACTACCCGGCCGGTGACTACATCTGCCGACAGGGCTGCTCTGGCGACTCGTTTTACATCATAAGCTCGGGTTCAGTGAAAGTAACGCAACATAACTTCATCGGCGAGGAGACGCTGCGGACACTGAAAGCGGGCGACTATTTCGGCGAACAGGCGCTCCTCGTGTCGTCCAACCCGTCAGCCCTGCGCACCGCCAACGTTGTGTCCCTCGACTGCGAGTGTCTGGTCCTCGACCGCACAAACTTCCACTCACTTATCGGTGATCTCAATGAACTCAAGTGAGATATTAGCGCCAGAATTCACATACTGTTCCCCTCAACAAAAACAAATGAATATTCTGGAAATTGTTTAGTTCGCTGAATTTTCTCATTATTTTGGGTCATTAATTAGTTTGGGAACCTAGATCAGCTAATTTAAAATTAATTATCTTTTTTATAATTCTTTTTATATAGTACCTTTATATTTTTACACAATAACGTGCATGCCTGAATAATTTTCATTTCAATTTATGAGCAATTTATGGTAATATTGTTTATATTTTAGATTATAGTGTACACTGTAAGTGAAATTATTGTATTTTACAATACTTGATAGTCTATTATGAAAGTTTGAAGCATTTTATTTTGTAAACACTTTGAAAGGGCTTAAAATAACATTGAAATCAATTGAAAGATATTCCTTGATAACACATAATTTGATTGAAAGTTTAATTTATTTAATAATACTTTGTTTAATAATAATATTTGATAATTATATTTACTAAAAGTGGGTTTTCTTAATTGAAATTGCGAAATATATATTATATATGCAAATTTTCTTATAACTAAATATTTATTCAAGTTTAATTCAAATTATAGATAATCACAAATATTTTTATTACTTTAATAATTTTGTTTGCTTTCATATTAAACATAACTTATTATTAAATAAATTAAATCTTTTTATTTAATAATTTGAAAAGTTATAATTATAATAATGAACATGAATAATGTTCAATTTTCAATTCAATAATTTTCGTAAATTTCAACTATAATTCAAAATATTTATTGAAATATTGATTTTAGTAATTAGTTTTGTTTATATAAATTCTACAAGCCTAATAAAAACTTTTAAAAGTAATTTTTATTATATACTAAAACAAAATTACAAAAAATAATTTCAAATAATCTAATATAATAACTAAATTTTGTATTCATATATTTCAGGACAAAGTATTACGAGGACAGGGATGTGTTTCACTGTCTGGAGAACTCGGAGAGCGACGACTGCGTGGACCCGTCGGTGGCTGACCTGAAACTGGTGCTTAGAGGCGACTCTCTGGACGATGCGCTCGTTGTTGATGTGCTGTTCCTGACGGGTCGAC